GGGGGGATCCCCCAATCCCCAGGGCCGGGGCCAAGGGGGAGTTCTGGGACAGCGCGGTGCGGCAGATCTTGGGAGGGGACCCCCCGGGCTCTGACGTCCAGCGCCAGCTCTTCCGGGCATTCTGCTACCGGGAGGCTGAGGGGCCTCGAGAGGTCTGCAGTCGCCTCCACCATCTGTACCGGCAGTGGCTGAGGCCGGAGACGCACACGAAGGCGCAGATGCTGGACCTGGTGATCCTGGAGCAGTTCCTGACTGTTCTGCCCCCGGCAATGGAGAGCTGGGTCCGGGAGTGTGGGGCAGAGACCAGCTCTCAGGCGGTGGCCCTGGCCGAAGGCTTCCTCCTGAGCCAGGCGGAGGACAGGCATGAGGAAGAGGTGAGGATCCCAGTAGACCTTCTCTGTCGATTGTCCCTCCCTTTCCTGCGTTTTAAGGGCACTTTTTCCTTTCTCTGCCCCGCCTAAAATCCCTGCTCCTGTTTCAGAGGGTGGCCGAAGTGGCCAGGGGCCCCACCGAGGAGGCCGGTTTGGATTCTGGGCAGCCCATGCTGGAGGCGGACCAAGGCCCCCCCCCGCCCGGTAAGGCTGCAGGGAGCAGCTCTCCCCAGGATTACTATGTCTTGGACTCCAGAGACTGTTTGTCTGTTTTGTTTATTTATTAAAATTCAATCCAGTGACTGCCCACTTCTAAGTGTCTCTGGGCAGTGCACAAATAGCAACATAAAAACCAATACAAGCCAAAGATAAGGTGGTCTGGGCACAATATAGAAACAGAAAACAAAAATAACAAGAACACCAGGGGCCCCCTCTGTCTCTCCTCAGGGCCAGGGAGAAGAGCCAGGTCTTCAAGGCTTTACGGGATGCCGCCGGGATGGATTTCAGGGGGCTTCTCATTCCAAAGGGCAGGTGCCATGACTGAGAAGGCTCACTTCCTGGGTGCCAAGAGATGACATTGTTTAATGGAAGGGGCCTGAAGCACGCCAACTATGCCAGCATGTACCAGCTGGGCAGAAACCATGTGTAGCAGGCGGTCCGCCAGGTAACCTGGCCCTGTGCCATGTAGGGCTTTACAGGTGGTAACCAGCACCTTGAATCACATCTGGAAGCAACCAGTGCACCCCTTGGCATGCCCATGGTTGCCCGTCTGCACCACTGTGTTCTGGACCAGCTGTAGCTTCTGAGTGGTTTTCTAGGGCAGACCCATGCAGAGTGCATTGCAGTGGTCAAGCCTTGAGATGACTAGCGCACGAGTGACTGCTTGAGGGGCCTCCTGATCCAGGGAAGGGGACAGCTGGTGCACCAGATGGAGCTGTGCGAAGGCCCCTTGGCCACAGCTGCTGCTTGCGCTTTGAATAGGTGCTGCGAGTCCAAGAGGACCTCCAGGCTGTGCACCGCTCTTGAACGGGGAAGCGCAGCCCCATCCAGAAGCTGAGAAGGAAAGCCCCCGGGCCCAAGAGGCCCTAATATCCTTCGTAAGACTGAGCTGGGGCTGATTCCTCCCCATCCAGGCCGGCTCAGCCTCCAGGCCCTGGACAGAACCTCAACAGCTTCACTTGGCCGGCCTGAGGTCAAAAGGTATAACTGGGTATCGCCAGCATATAGATGATCCTGGACCCCAGAGTGACGGATGGCCTCCCTCAGCGGCTTCACGTAGATGTTAACAAGGGGAGAGAGCGTTGGCCTCCGCGCCAACCCACGTAATAAGGGCCCACGCCAATCAGAACTGGCCACGAACGAAGGATGAGAGCCGTCGTAAACCGGTGGGCCCAGTTCCCAACCCCTGTTTTGTTCTTTAGCCTGTGTTATGCAGAGGGAGGGACAGTTTTCTTCAGCTGTCCCCTCAGTTTAAAAGAGAATCTCATTCTGACAGCATGCCGAGAGGTGGTTGCTACTCAAAGGGAGATCGTGGCCTGGAACACTGCTCTTGAGAAGGGTTCGGTCAGCAACTTTCCCTTCTGCTTTTGATTTTTATTTATTTATTTGATTTATACAGCTGCCCATCTCACAGTAGTGATTCTGGGTGGCTTACAATATTTAAAAACAGTGCAAAAACACAATGTGACGTGGTATAAAACGCAGCAACGCACAAAGTAGCTGAATAGTTTACTAGATTCCTTATTAAGCTCTTGACAATGGGTGGTTCAAAGGGGGTGTGGGTGTGAAATAAAAACCAGCAAAATGACAAGCATTTTATTGTTTTCCACATTTAAGTGTGAACCACCCAGGTTGATCGATCGATTGATTTAAAGATTTATATGGCCACCCATCTTGTGAGACACAACTCTGGGTGGCTAACAGCAATAAGAAAATGATCAAAAAAAGAAAAAATCCAACAAACAAACAAGAGAAACCTGGTGCCCAGATAGACAGTCCCCTGAACTCCAGGCTGGCTACCCGGGCGCCTGGCTGAGAGGGTGGGGGCTGCTGGATCTCAAGGGGGATGGAAAAGGCATGCTTCCTAGGCCCCCCTAGATGGCAGCGTTTGAGGGAAGGCCCCTGGAACGCGTCCGACCTAGTGGGCTGGGAAGATTCCCCCAGGGAGAGGCAGTCCCACAGATAAGCTGACCCTGTGCCAAATAGAGCTTTAAAGGTAATAACCACCACCTTGAATTGCATCTGGAAAGAAACTGAGCCGGTGCAACTAGTGCAGCGATGGTGTAGTGTGGGCGAACCGAGAGGCACCTAATGCCTCACAAGCTGCTGGATTCTGGACCAGCTGTAATTTCTGGGTGGTCTTCGAGGGCAGCCCCATGTAGAGTGCACTGCAATAGTCCAACTGGGAATGAGTGAGGTGCGAGTGACTGTGAGCAAGGCCGCCTGGTCCAGGAATGGGCGCAATTGGCACACAAGACATATCTGGGCAAAGGCCCCCCCAGTCATGGCTGCCACCTTTGAACAGGAGCTGTGAGTCCAGGAGGACCCCCCGATTGTGCAACCACTCTGTCTGGGGAAGTGCTACCCCATAAAGAGTAAAAAATGCAATACCAGCAGACGGGGGTGGGTG